CCAAAGGTCTGTTATAGGTTCGACCTCAATCTCTCTTTTTAATTTTAGAGAGTTTTCCGTAACCCGCGTCAGTTTTACTAGACAGGAAATATGACCAGATAAACTCATTCCACTTTATTGCAAAGCTGCATTAATAGAATCTGAAAGTACAGTTCTTTTCTCCCTCCCCCTTTACAAGCTGAGAAACTAGGGGGGGGGGGTCCCTGTTCAGCATTTGCCCTGCCTGTAATGCATCTGAAGGCTAAGCAGTCTTTTATCGGGCCGTTCCTGGGCAGGGTCTCTTTGCTCCGTCTCCCAAGGTCTTCCCTACATCACATTGGACATCCCTGCACGCACTCTGAACTCTTCCCATGGATCTAGATTCTCCCCCTCCCCCTTTATAACCTGAGAAACTAGAGAGGGTCCCTTCTGACCCCTCTTTCTTCATTATGCAGCTGAGGGCTAAGCAATCTCTAATGCTAGGCTGCATTAACAGAGGGATAGAATCAAGAACATGTGAAGTATTAATACCACTTTACAAGGCCTTGGTAAGGCCACACTTGGAATACGGCATCCAGTTTTGGTCGCCACGATGTAAAAAAGACGTTGAGACTCTAGAAAGAGTACAGAGAAGAGCAACAAAGATGATCAGGGGACTGGAGGCTAAAACATATAAGGAACGGCTGCTGGAATTGGGGATGTCTAGTTTAATGAAGAGAAGGACGAGGAGGGACAGGATAGCAAGTCTTCCAGTATCTCAGGGGCTGCCCCAAAGAAGAGGCAGTCAAGCTATTCTCCAAAGCGCCTGAAGGCAGGACAAGAAACAACGGATGGAAAAGGAGAGAAGCAACCTGGAACTAAGGAGAAACTTCCTGACAGTGAGAACAATTAACCAGTGGAACAACCTGCCTCCAGAAGCGGTGAATGCTCCAACACTGGAAGTTTTTAAGAAGAGACTGGACAGCCATTTGTCTGAAATGGTATAGGGTTTCCTGCCTAAGCAGGGGGTTGGATTAGATGACCTCCAAGGTCCCTTCCAACTTTATTATTATTATTATTATTATTATTATTATTATTATTATTATTATTATTATTATTATTATTATTATTATTATTATTATTATTATTATCTGACTGTTCCCTTGGCACCGTTCAACTAGTTGCCACATACCATTACACCTGCCGCCAGACTCTGTAATTTAAACCCTTAATTCTATCATTTAAATCCATTCTCCTGTGGCTCCTGCTCGGAGACGTTGCAAGCCTGTATTTAAAGGGCATTTTCGTTCCCTCTTTAATCATATCTTCTCCAGGCTAAGCCATTCCCTGCTTGTAAAATCTTGTTTCTAACTCTCCAGTCATTTTTCTCCTTGCCCTTTGGGAAAACATGTTCCCAGCTGCCTAAATTCATCTGAAATGTGGGCACCGATAAGAATATCACTCACCCTCGCCCAGAGATAAGATTCTAGTCCTCGTTTGGGTCAAATTCTTCGACAAATTAAAGCTGTGGTCCCTCGGAAGGAGGGACCAAGAATCAGTCAAGGTAGAGAAATATAAACAGTAATTATGAGGCAGTTCGGTGTAGTGGTTAAGATGCGGGGCTGGAAACCAAGAGATTGTGAGTTCTAGTCCCACCTTAGACCTGAAAGCCAACTGGGTGACTTTGGGCCAATCACCAGGAGACTGTGAGTTCTAGTCTCACCTTAAAGCTGGCTGGATGACTTTGGGCCAGTCACCAGGAGACTGTGAGTTCTAGTCCCACCTTAGACCTGAAAGCTGGCTGGGCGACTTTGGGCCAGTCACCAGGAGACTGTGAGTTCTAATCCCACCTTAAAGCTGGTTGGATGACTTTGGGCCAGTCACCAGGAGACTGTGAGTTCTAGTCCCACCTTAGACCTGAAAGCTGGCTGGGCGACTTTGGGCCAGTCACCAGGAGACTGTGAGTTCTAATCCCACCTTAAAGCTGGCTGGATGACTTTGGGCCAGTCACCAGGAGACTGTGAGTTCTAGTCCCACCTTAGGCACGAAAACCAGCTTGATGACTTTGGGCCAATCACCAGGAAACTGGGAGTTCTAGTCCCACCTTAGGCATCAAAGCCAGCTGGGTGACTCTGGGCCAATCACCAGGAGATGGCGAGTTCTAGTCCTACTTTAGGCATCAAAGCCAGCTGGGTGGCTTTGGGCCAACCACCAGGAAACTGGGAATTCTGGTCCCACCTTAGCCATGAAAGCTGGTTGGGTGACTCTGGGGCCAATCCCTTTCTCTCAACCCAGCCCACTTTACAGGGTTCCTGCTGAAAGGAAAAAGAGAGAAGGAAGCAACAATTGCAGACCTTCACCACCTTGGGTTGCTTATAAAGGAATAACGGCGGAAACAAACAAACCAACAAATGGCTCACTTTATTTGTCCTGGCAGATACGAACGTGGACGACATGGACGTCGACTTGGATAAAGAATTTTTACAGGGCCTGAAAGAGTTAAAGGTTCTGATTGCAGACAAAGATCTGCTGGATCTGCACAAGAGGTATGGAAGAGGGGCTACCTGGAGGGGGCTTTGCAGAATACTCAAAGCTTTGAGTTAGCACACAAGGCAAATTCGTGTTTTGCCCTTTGCCTATAAGGCAGGTGAATAATGCGTTAGGAGCTGGCTGGAGATATCACTAGATATCATGTCTGAGATAGTATAGTATATAGGGTCACCTGCTTGGGGGGGGCTGGACTAGAAGACCTCCAAGGCCCCTTCCAACCTTGAGCATTCCAACATTTGAGTGTGTGTGTGTGTGTGGGGATGTTCTCTAAAATTTCCTGATTTTTTTCCTAATTCTTTCCTTTTCATTCTTGCTCCACAGCCTGGTCTGCACTGCACTGCGGGGGAAGATCTCCGTCTTCAGTGAGATGGAAGCCAATTTTAAGGTGGGTCCAGCTGGAGCCCAGGTCCAGAGTGTGAATCCTGACACACCTCCCTGTGCTCCCACAATCTCCTTGTTAATGTAATAAGTAAAAAAAAATAAAAATCTGAATTTTCTCCAGAATCTGATACAAACCGGGAAGTCCTTGTGAGCTGTTATTTAGCATTTGGCCACACGGGGGTGCCAGTGCACTTTGGGGAAAAAAGCCCACCCTCCTGCAGAGCCACAAAAATAGGGGTTCTACAGATGTAGAAAAGTTAAAAATAGCGGGGGGGGGGGGGGTTTGGTGCAATGTCTTGATCACTTTAAGATAAGTGGACTTCAATTCCCAGAATTCCCCAGCAGCATGGCTGGCTGGGGAGTACTGGGTGTTGAAGTTCACAGATCTTTTAAATTGCTGTGGTTTGGGAATACTGTTCTAATTATTGATTCTCTTGTCTTTTCTATTCTATTCTATTATTTCTATTCTATTCCATTCCATTCTCTTATTCTATTCTATATTCTATTCTATTCTATTCTATTATTTCTATTCTATTCCATTCCATTCTCTTATTCTATTCTATATTCTATTCTATTCTATTCCTTATTTCTATTCTATTTCTATTCCATTCCATCCTATTCTATTCTATTCTATTCATTCCATTCCATTCTCTTATTCTATTCTATATTCTATTCTATATTCTATTCTTTTCTATTCTATTCCACCCCACCCCACGTCATCTCATCTCATCTTTTCATTTTATTATTTTTAATCAAATTTCTATAGCTGCCCATCTCACCAAAAATGACTCTCTTGCAGAATCTCAGTCGGGCTTTGATCAACATTGCCTCGAAGCTTACCCACAGCAAAGACGTCCGAGATTTTTTTGTTGATCTAGTGGAAAAGGTAATGTGAGTCTCTTCCAGCTCTGGGAATGTTTGGTTTTGAGCTGCCTAACATTTATAGTTTTAGAACTAGATATCAACTCGCAGAATCCCCCAGCCAATGTGCTTTAAGAGGGGTGGACTTCAACTCCCAGAATCCCCCAGCCAGCATGCTTTAAGAGGGGTGGACTTCAACTCCCAGAATCCCCCAGCCAGCTTGCTTTAAGAGGGGTGGGCTTCAACTCCCAGAATGCCCCAGCCAGCATGCTTTAAGAGGGGTGGGCTTCAACTCCCAGAATCCCCTAGCCAGCAGGCTTTAAGAGAGGTGGACTTCAACTCCCAGAATCCCCCAGCCAGCAGGCTTTAAGATGGGTGGGCTTCAACTCCCAGAATTTCTCCAGCCAGCCCTGTTGGCTGGGGAATTCTGGGAGTTGACATCTTTCCATGTTAAAGTCGCCAAAATTGGGAGGCACCACCTTGGAGTGCCACGGGATCTCAGAAAGTGACCTGGAATTGGAAAAACATTGACCCAAGGCCCCTTTAGGCCCCGCACTGAATCCATTCGGTTTTTATTCGACCTGCCCCTGATTTTGTGGAATTTGGGAATCTTTCTCTGACTCTCCTCCTTCTGGGAACGCGGCCTCTGCCCCTCTTCCAAAGCTCGCTGGGGCTCCCAGCCCGAATTGCTCCTTTCCAAGGCTCGTAAATTATCACTTTTCCTACCCGATTTTTTATCCTTTTCTCCTTGGTTTTTTTTTTCTTTTCTGAAGTTTGTGGAGCCGTTTCGATCCGACAAATGGAGCTCAAACGACGTGCAGCTTTTCCTGACCCAGTACACAGCCAGCGCACACTCGTTGGAAGTGTTCAGGTTTGCAACGTCTTCCGCACACACCCACACTCCTCGGTTTGTTTGCGGGGCGGGTAGTCCTCAACTTACGGCCTCGGTGGACCCCAGAGTTTATGTCGCTAAGCGAGACATTGGTTTAAGTGAGTTTTGGCCCGATTTACAATCCTTCTTGCCGCAGTTGCTCAATGAATCCCTGCGGTTGTTAAATGAGTCACACGGTCGTTAAGCGAATGTGGCTTCCCCCCCCCCCGCCTTGACTTTGCCTGTCAGAAGATCGCAAAAAGGGATCACGAGACACACACACACACCCCGGGACGCTGCGACCGTCATAAATGTGAGTCAGTGGCCCAGGGTCTGAATTTTGATCATGTGATCAACGGTCGTCATTGTGAAAAACGGTCATAAGTCCTTTTTTTCCAGTGCCGTTGTAACTCTGAAACGTCACTCAATGAATGGTTGTAAGTCGAGGAGTACCTATATTTATTTTCATTCCTCCAACTTTTTCCAATCTCTGACTTTCTCCTCTTGCAGGCATCAAGTGCTTTGGGAACGATATATGGGTACCCTCAAGGCCTGCCTCCTCAAGATATACCACGACTGAACCCCACTATCTTAATTTCTTTTTTTTTTTTCTTTATTTTAAATAGATGTTAATATTCCCTCTAGGGAGAGACCCGGTGCCATTCCTCTGTGATTGCTCTCCTTGCACCCGTAACCCAAAATTCATCCTCCCCCTTTTCTCTCTCTCTCTCTCTTTTTTTTTTTTTTTTTTTTGGGGGGGGGACAATGAGGACTAGTCAATTGTTTTGAGTTTTTTTGCTCGGATGAAATAAAAGAATCCGTTTTGTTCCCAAGCAGACGCGTGGCTTGATTTGCCTGGCTGGTTGAAGTAAGGGCACTGAGTCTTAAGGACGGAAGGCCGTGCCTGGTGGGGGATTATAGGGATTGTTGTCCAGTCGATCTGGCAAGGGAATTGGGGGGGGGGGGTTGTTGTTCAGATGTCAGAATTAAAATTGGGGACTGGCTGTCTTTTGGGAGAGGTTTTGCTAAGAAAAAAAAATCTCTGCTGGGTGGCCACTTGGTTGAATTAGAGCAGAGTTAAGGGGAGAAGGTCAGGCCTGGAAGGGGATTATGGGAGTTGTCATCCAATGCACCTGGAAAGGGAAGAGGAGCCTCGAAGTGTCAGAATTAAAATGGATTTTTATCGCTCTTTGATGGTGCTAGTTTGGTTCTTGATGGTGTGGGGGGCCGGAAAGGGGGGGGAGGAACTTTGATTTTCCATAAATGATAGACTAGATGACCTCCAAGGTCCCTTCCAACTTTATTATTAATATTATAGTGGCAGGATCAGAATGGGGAAAAACTGTGTTGGCCATTAAAGAGAGAGAAGATGGTTGGGACAGAAAACAGGCAGTCCTCAATTTACAACCCATTTATTTAGCGACCGTTCAAAATTACCACACTGAAGAAAAGTGACTTATGACTGGTCCTCGCACTTACGACCATTGCAGCCTCCCAGGGTGACGTGATCGCCATTTGCGGCCTTCCCAGCCGGCTTCCAACAAGCCAAGTCAATGAAGGAAGCTGGATTCCCTTCACAACGGCACGATTCGCTTAACAAGGGGATGATTCGCTTAACGTCCATGACAGACATGGTAAAATCCGGCATGACTCATTTAGCAACCACTTGGCTTAGCAATGGAGATTCTGGTTCCCCCAACAAAGACTTTGGGCTAATGTTCCTCAACTTCAGCCACTTTAAGATGGGAGGACTTCAACTCCCAGAATTCCCCCAGCCAGCATGCTTTAAGATGGGTGGACTTCAACTCCCAGAATTCCCCAGGTAGCCTAGCTGGCTAGGGAATTCTGGGAGTTGAAGTCCATTCATTTTAAAGTCTGTCAGGTTGAGAAACACTGCTCTAGATCAAAGTTTCTCAACCTTGGGCACTTTAAGATGGGTGGACTTCAACTCCCAGAATTCCTCAGCCAGCTATGCTGGCTGAGGTATTCTGGGAGTTGAAGTCCACCCATCTTAAAGTGCTCAAGGTTGAAAAACATAGTGTACCCAGCAATGGGGAGACCTTGATGGGTCCAGTGCTGAGTGTTTCTTCCCTTCACCCCCTGCACAGGCCGGCAGGGGAATTCTGGGAGTTGAAGTCCACCCATCTTGAGGTGAAAATCACTGCTGTAAAACACTCAGCTTTAAACTTCCCAGTTCAGTCCCTCTGACACCCTGGGTCCTTCCTATCCAGCCTTTCCATTAACCCACCCACCCACCCCTCTACTAAAAACCTCCTTACACCCCACCCCCCATTTTTGACTCAAGCACCCCCTCCCACTCTCTCTACCTCCCTTTCAAACACTGCCTGGGCCTGCTGACATGCTTTGGCAAGCAGCTGTCACCCCCTCCCCTCCTCACCCAGGACTAGAACCGATCTGAAAAAAGGTTTTTTAAAAAGGGGGGGGATTCTCTGCATCGCCAAAGGGGACACCTCCCCCCCCCTGCAGTTGATTCCTGACCTTGGAGAGCTTTTCAAAGCACCCGAAGGCAGGGCAAGAAGCAATGGATGGCAAATAATTAAGGAGAGAAGCAACCTAGAACTAAGCAGAAATTTCCTGACAGTTAGAATAATAGATCAGTGGAACTACCTGCCTCTGGAAGTTGTGGGTGCTTCATCACTGGAGGTTTTTAAGAAGAGACTGGACAGCCACTTGTCTGAAATGGTCTAGGGTCTCCTGCTTGAGCAGGGGGTTGGACTAGAAGACCTCCAAAGTCCCTTCCAACTCTTGCTTTGGGTGGGCTCCATGCCTAATGAAGAGAAGGCTTAGGGGTGATATGATAGCAGTCTTCTAACATTTGGGGGGGCTCTCACAAAGAAGAGGGGGGGGTCAACCTATTCTCCAAAGCCCCAGAAGGCAGAACAAGAAACAACGGATGGAAACTAATCAAGGAGAGACGCAATCTGGAATTAAGGAGAAATTTCCTGACTGCAAGAAAATCAATCAGTGGAACAGCTTGCCACCAGAAGTGGCTGCTCCAATCACTGGAGGTTTTCAAGAAGAGACCGGGCAGCCGCTTGTCTGAAATGGTCAAGGGTTGGACTAGAAGACCTCCAAGGTCCCTTCCAACTCTGCCGTTCTATTATTCTGCCAAATCGTTTCAAATCAACCGCATCCAGATTCTCCAATGCCACCCTGCAAGGGTGTGTGTGGGGGGGTCTGCCCCTCCCTGAGGAGTGCAGCAAGTGGGGTGGGGGTACAGCAAATTGAGGGGGGGGACAAAGGCTGGTTTGAGAGGTAGCGTCCGCTTAATGGATGCAAACAGCTGGCTGGTCCCGAAAGGGTGTTTATTGCAAGCTAAGTGAAAACAGATGTTGGCTGCGAGCCTTTGACAACATCTGCTTGTCTCGGGGCCAAGAATTCGGGATGGGGGGGTTGAGTGTGTGTGTGGGGGGGGAACCAGCCAGCGGCACTCTCCCAGGGCACACCCTCCCGTCACTTCTCTCTCGCTCTCCACGCCCGGCCAGAATTGGGGGTGTTCGCCGGAGACGGAAAGAAAGGGGTGCCAGAGACCGTGCCAAGCGCTTGTCAAAGGGTGAGTGATGGGAGGTTTCTTTCTGGGGTGGGTCTGGGGGCTGGAAAAGGGGGCTGAGAGGGGAAGAGAGGAACAGGCCAGGCCTGAGAGAAGGAACCGGAGTTGGGAAGGGGAGGAAAGAAGGAAAGTGGCAACGTAACGCTGCGCCAAAGGGGCTTCGCTCCATCCAGTGGGGGTCCAGGCCCCGAAGGAAAAAAAAAAAAATCTAGGGGTGCCCCTGCTCAATTCTGCTTTGTTTCTTTGCAACTGGGCACCAGAGAGAGAGAGAGCGAAGAAATTTATTTCCGGTGCTTTAATTTTGTGCCCAGTTCCTCTTAGCCATGTTGACTTCATCTTGGTTTGTTCTGCTGCCCAAACGCTCCAGCTGAGTTTTTGGGGAGAAATGGAGAACTAGCCTGCTTTCCCCAGAGGCTCTCTTAAATTTGGGGGTGCGGGGTGCATTTATAGATAGGGCACTGAGGACGAGATAGTCCTTGGGGGTGCCCGGTTGCCCCCAAGAGCCTCTAAAACCAGCCAGCAAGCTCGAACGTCTGTTCTTCCAAGCCAATGTTTATAAATCTGGAATTGATGTGCGTTCTGCGTCTGCTCTGGACCGTCTTTTCCTTCTCTCCGGCATGTTGTTTCAAAACCTAAATAATTTGATGGCTCTCTTAAAAGTTTGTTCTGTACCTGAAATGAATAATATATCCATGTCTGTCCCAGACAAAACTGAAAGACTATTTTAGTTCACTTGATCTGTTAGAACAATTAACCCGTGGAACAACCTGCCTCCAGAAGCGGTGAATGCTCCAACACTGGAAGTTTTTCAGAAGAGACCGGACAGCCATTTGTCTGAAATGGGATAGGGCAGCTCAGCTCCTGCTGGCTCAGGAATTCTGGGAGTTGAAGTCCATGAGTCATAAAAGAGCCAAGGTTGCCTACTCCTGGTCTAGGGCCTCCAGGTTGGACTAGAAGACCTCCAAGGTCCCTTCCAGCTCCATTGTGATTGATTAACTGACTTACGACCAAAACTGAACAAGCAAAGTGCTTGTTAAGTGAGTTGCACCCCACGTCGCAACCTTTTTTGCCCCGGTTGTTAAGCGAATCACCGCGGTTTTTTTTAAGTCACACAGTGGTTCCGTAAATCTGACTCCTGCATTGATCCAGCTGGAAAGGTTGCAAACAGCGATCCCGCCACTTTGGGATGCTGGGACCCTCCTCAACGCCATTGCAGGCGCCCAAATTTTGATCACGTGACCACGGGGGACGCTGCGAGGGTTGTAAGCACGAGGACCAGTCGTAAGTCACTCTTTCAGTGCTGTTGCCACTTTGAATGGCCGCTAAACGAAATGGTTATAAGTCGCGTTGCCAGCCACTTTGAGGTAGGGAGGATTTGATGGCCGGTTTAAAAAGAAAATAAACACCGGATAAACTCAGTGGCCGGCTGTGTTTTATGTATATTGTGTACGTTTTGTCTGACAAAAGGCTGTATTTAGCGTTCCTTGGAGACAGTAACTCTCTTGTGTAAATATACACCCGGCTTGATCCATCCCCGGAAGGGTCTGCCCTGGAATCGGAGGCCTCCAGATTCCTGGAGGAACTGAATTTGCTTTCAAACCGCTGATTTAAAACGAAATAAACCCCAGCGTTTGGAGCCTACGTCTGCTGCCTCTTCGTAAAGGACAAATTGGGTATATTTTATTCCTTTCTTTAACTTTTGCACGCTGTAAACAAAAAACACCCAAATCCGGAGTGAGTTTGGGATCGGATAAGACTCGCTCCGCCTGGTATATTCAACCTGCTACAGATAACGACTCGATTTACAACCATTCATTTAGTGACCGTTCAAAGGTACCACGGCACTGGGAAAAAGTGACTTTATTTTTTCATACAACGGTCGCAGCATCCTCGCGGTCACGTGATCAGAATTCGGCCGCTTGGCAACTGATTCATGTTTGCGACGGTGGCAGTGTCCCGGGATCCCCTTTTGCGACCCTGAGGTGAATTCACTTAACAACAGTGGCAAAGAAGGTCGTAAAATGGGGCAAAATTCACTTAACGTCTGTTGGGCTCAATTGCGTCCGATCGGTGTGTGTGTGTGGCTCAAACGGCAGAGCTAGCAAAGAACACAAGCTGCAAATACGTTGAATTTTTAAATATATATATATTTATTTTTAATTGCTCGTTCTTTCTCTCCCAGGTGTGAAAATGAAGGTGGTTTCCTGCGTCTTCCTGGCCTCTCTGCTGAAAGCTGCATTTACACAAGAGGACCCCAATACTTACACGGTAAATGTTCCAGATCAGAGCTCGCGGGGTCCGTATTGCTGAAACAGGAGAGAAAGGACATTTCAACAAAAGATTTGTCATCCGTAATCCCAGAATCGCATTCTTAGTGGGGATATCAAGAACAGGGTGACCCTGTGCGTGCTGGATTCAGACTCAACTTTTGTCCAGGTTTTCTGGACAAGATCAGCCTCTGTGTGTGTGTGTGTGTGTGTTAGCCTATACTACCCTGAAGGGTTGTTGTTAGGATACGGAAGGGAGGGGGAGGAGCTGCCTGTAATGTAAGCTGCCTGTAATGATGATGATGATGAGGAGGAGGAGGAGGAGGAGGAGGAGAATTAGAATTGGAATTGGAATTGGAATTGGAAGAAGAGGAGGAGGAGAGGAAGAAGAAGAGAAGGAAGAAGAAGAAGAAGAAGAAGAAGAAGAAGAAGAAAGAGAAAGAGAGAAAGAAAGAAAAAAAGAGAGAAAGAAAGAAGAAAGAAAGAAAGAAAAAGAAAGAAAGAAAGAAAGAAAGAAAGAAAGAAAGAAAAAGAAAGACTGAACTTTTGTCCAGATTTTCTGGACAAAACCAACCTGTTTGTGTGTGTGTGTCTCTCTCTCTCTTAGCCTAAACTACCCTGCAGGGTTGATGTTAGGATACGGAGGGACAGGGGAGGACCATGTAAGCTGCCTGTAATAATAATAATGATGATGATGATGATGATGATGATGATGAAAGTGGGAAAGGATCTTGGAGGTCATCTAGTCCAACCCCTGTCCCAACATTTCTGTGGCTAAGCGAGACAATTATTAAACGAGCTTTGTCTCATTTTATGACCTTTCTTGTCCCCGTTGTTAAGTCAATCACCGCTATTTTTCGGTTAGTAACCTGGTGACGAAGGCAAAGAGGAATGGGGCATTAGAAAAACCTACTTCCCATCTTTTAGGATAGAAGTGGCTGCAATCCAATCATAGATCCAGGATTTCTGACCAGTTTCTTTCAAACTTTTCCAATTTCTCCCCATCGTAGGAATGCACGGACGGCTATCAGTGGGACTCCGAAACCCAGCACTGCAAAGGTACCGCACAGCCCCCAGACCAGTGAAAAACAGTGTTCGGCCTGCGTTACGCTGCCTGCATTCTGCTGTTCAATTATTGGGTTTAAATGGTTGTGGGAACGGGACTTGCGAGTTAACAGCGGGGTGGAGGGGAAAAAAAAAACAAGGGAAAAAAGTGGGTTTTTCAAGCTCTCCAATCTGTCTGCCTCGAGAAACAACGGATGGAAACTAACCGAGGAGAGAAGCAACTTAGAACTAAGTAGAAATTTCCTGACAGTGAGGACAATTAACCAGTGGAACAGCTTGCCACCAGAAGTTGTGGATGCTCCATCACTGGAGGCTTTTAAGAAGAGACTAGACAGCCACTTGTCTAAAATGGTCTAGGGTCTCCTGCTTGAGCAGGGGGCTGGACTAGAAGGCCTCCAAGGTCCCTTCCAACTATTCTGTTATTCTGAGTTCCAAAAACAGGGCAGGCTGCCCAACTTCACCCATTCGTCATCCATAACCAGAATGTTGAACAACTGACCTGTTAAGCCAAGTTTACTACAGTTTGACAGGGTTAGTTTGTGCTTTTGCCTCAGTCCAGCTCTTTAAGTTAGTCTGAAGTTAGTTGTCCTTGACTTACAACTATCCATTTAACTACTTTTAGTTGCAACAACGCTGAAAACATTGACTTACGATCGGTCCTCGCACTTATGACTGTCACAGCATTCCCAGGGTCACGTGATCAAAATTTGGGCACTTGGGAGCTGGCAATTACTTTGCAGCATCCCGGGGTCCTGTGATCCCCATTTGCGACCTTCCCAGGCGGCATCCGACAAGCCAAGTCGATGGGGAAAGCTGGATTCGTTTAATGACGGCCCGATTCACTGAACGGCTGCAGTGATTTGCTTAACAACTGCGACAAAGCGGTCGTAAAACTGGGCAGGACTCCCTTAACTATCTCGCTTAGTAGTGGAAGTCCTGCTCCCATGTCTGGTTATAAAACGAGAGCTATCTGTAGGGCGCAAAGGCAGGGAATGAGTTCCTTGGGTCAGGGGTTTAACGGGTTGTGTGAACGGGGTAGTGGGTCAGAATTGGGGGCAAGGGGGAAGCAGCCAGCTTGGATCCTGCCCGTCTAGGTGTTTGAAATTTGTCTGAAGTTGTCAGTTTTTAGTTTCAGAGATCTTTCTGCCCGTCTAGACATTAACGAATGCGAGACCATCCACCACGCTTGTAAAGGGGAGATGAAATGCATCAACCATTATGGGGGGTACCTCTGCCTCCCGCGTTCCGCTTCGGTCATCAACGACGTCAACGCCGAACGAGCCCCTCTGGACAGCCCCCCCAGGCATAGACCTCGCCTGCCGCCCCAGCCCTCCGTCCGACCTCACACTTGTGCCCAGGGTTACGAGCCTGACCGGCATGGATCGTGCGTGGGTGAGTTAGCCGGGCCTAAATTCTACCTGCTGTCGCTATTTCTATTCTTTCATTTTTCACCCTGCTGGCAATCTCCTCCATTTTTCCCCCCTCACAATCCTGGATTCCAATCTGCCTTTTTGTGTGTCCCCCTCTAGACCTGGATGAGTGTGAATATGATTTGCACGACTGCCAGCCCAGCCAGCAGTGCATCAACACCATCGGTAGTTTTCACTGCCAGTGCCCAGAGGGCTATCGGAAGATCGGCACGGAGTGTGTCGGTAAGTGAATCGCACACAGTCGGTTCCGCTTGAAAAAAAAGGGTTGTGTCATTCACTGCTTAGTGCAGGGGTAGGCAACCTTTGCTCTTTTATGATTTGTGGACTTCAACTCCCAGAATTCCTGAGCCGGCATGGCTCAGCTTGGAAACCTCTCCCTTTCCCCTTAGCGTGGCTGGCTCAGGAATTCTGGGAGTTGAAGTCCACCAGTCGTGAAGGAGGCCATAGTTCCCCCATGCTGGCTCAGGAATTCTGGGAGTTGAAGTCCACCAGTCGTGAAGGAGGCCATAGTTCCTCTTAGCATGGCTGGCTGAGGAATTCTGGGAGTTGAAGTCCACAAGTCATAAAGCGGCCATAGTTCCCCCATGCTGGCTCAGGAATTCTGGGAGTTGAAGTCCACAAGCCATAAAAGAGCCAAGGTTGCCTACCCCTGGCTTAGTGCATTGTTGGGCACAGGGGTCGCCTGTACCCAGAGCACCCCGTTAAGCATTTTATTTATTTATTTAAGAAATTGATATCGCCGCCTACTCGCACACGGCGACTCAAGGCGGCTTGCACGGATATATAACTTCATAATTCAGAAACTCCTTCTCTTTTCCGCTACAGACATCGACGAATGCCGTTACCGCTATTGTCAACACCGTTGCGTCAATTCCCCTGGATCTTTCACTTGCCAGTGTGAATCCGGATTTCAGCTGGCCAGTAACAACCGCTCGTGTGTGGGTAAGAGAAAACTCACCCCCTGGAAGTCCCATACAGGCGTTCCTCGACTTACGACCACGACTGAGCCCAAAATTTACGTTGCTAAACGAGACAGTTGTTAAGTGAATTTTGCCCCAGGTTATGACCTTTCTTGCCTCCGTTGTTAAGTGAATCACTGCACTTGTTCAGTTAGCAACCCGGTTGTTAAGTGAATCTGGCTTCCCCCATTGATTTTGCTTGCCAGAAGGTCGCAAAAGGGGGAATCACGTGAGCCCGGGACACTGCAACCGTCAGGGGTACATGCCAGTTGCCAAGCCTCTTTTGATCATGTGATCGTGGGGACGCTGCAATGGTCGTAAGTGTGAAAAACGGTCTCAAGTCACTTTTTTCCGTGCCGTTGTAACTTTGAACGGTCACTAAACGAACTGTCGTAAGTCGAGGATTACCTGCCCGCGCTCCTTTTGTTCAAGAGACACAATTTCTGATCAAAACACACACATTCAGAGTTGGGACAGGTCCGCAGAATCTAAAATCCTGAGATCGGAGGGGCCCTGGCGCTTTCTCTTGAATAGACTACTGCAGTACGTTCTACCGGGGGCTGCCCTTGAAGAGTATCCAAAAGCTTCAACCGATGCAAAAAACCAGCAAGAGTTGGGACACATTCAGGCATTTATGGCCCACTTGCACGTGTTACACCTCAACTCTGCCAGCTCCATGACTTGCCAATTTTGCTTCCGGGTCCATGTGTTGGGCTGGGGAATTCTGGGAGTTGAAGTCTTTAACATTGCCAAGTTTGGAAAACACGGCATTAATCCGTTATTTAGTGCTTTGAAGGACCCAGGGCAGGGATAGGCAACCTTGGCTCTTTTAGGACTGGTGGACTTCAACTCCCAGAATTCCTGAGCCAGCCATGCTGAGGGGAAAGGGAGAGGTTTCCAAGCTGAACCATGCTGGCTCAGGAATTCTGGGAGTTGAAGTCCACCAGTCATAAAAGAGCCAAGGTTGCCGACCCCTGACCCAGGGTGTGTTTTAAAGAGAGGGGGATGGCCCTCCAAGCCAGACCCTCCCAACTTTAAGCCTTTTAGCAGCCTACAAACACTTAGGGTCAAGTATTATGGGATGTAAAGTCTGACTTTTGTGCAACCTCCCTCCCCCCTCCCAGATGTGAACGAGTGCGAGATGGGGGCCCCCTGCAAACAACGCTGCTTCAACACCTACGGCACTTTTATCTGCCGTTGCAACCAAGGATACGAACTGGACCACGATGGCTTTACCTGCAAAGGTAGGCGGGGCTTAGCCCCACCCCTTTATCCTTCCCACACCTTGTGGCAAGCTCCTCCCACTGCCTCTTTGCTGGAATTCTGGGAGTTGAAGTCCACAAGTCATAAAAGAGCCCAGGTTTCCCACCCCTGCCCTAGACTTAACAACCATTTGTTTAAAGTCACACCGGCACTCAAAAGAGGCTTAAAACCCATTCCTCGCCCTTACGACGGCCGCAGCATCCCCATAGCCACGCAATCCAAATTCGGCCGTGTATTTACGACGGTGGCCACGTCCCCGGGGGTCACCTGTTCTCCATTTGCAGCCTTCCTAGCTGGCTTCCGACAAGCCAAGTCAGCGGGAGGAGCTGGCTTCGCTTAACGACCGTGGCAAAAGCCCTAAAAAATTGGGTGTGAACTCACCGAACAAGCGCCTCGCTTAGCGACCGAAATTGCGGTCGAAAGTCGAGGCCGACCTATAACAGCCCTCCTTTCTTTCTCTCCTGCTCAGACGTGGACGAATGCGGCTATTCGAATTACTTGTGTCAACACCAATGTGTGAACAAACCCGGTCACTTCTCCTGCGTTTGTCCTCAAGGTTACAACCTCGTGAACACCCGGCTTTGCCAAGGTAGCCGTCGGGATTTGGGGTGGGTGGGTGGGGGAAAATAAGACCCCAGGTACCAGCCCCCATTTGCTGCCAGCCCCCATCAGCTTAAGTCCTTGGGAGATTTTTCAGCCAGGACTGACTGAACTTTGCAAAAATTAATTTGAAGGGGATTCTTCTGCGTGGGTCGGGGGGAGGGAAGGATCTGGCTGGGGGGGGCTGTTGGCAATTTGGGGTGCCGAAGTGAGAAAAGGAGAAAAGGGAATTTTTGATAGGGGGTGGGTGGAGATGTCCTGTTTGAGCCCCGATTCAGCCAGTGGAACTCCTTGCCTCCAGAAATCGTGGGCGCTTCATCAGTGGAGGTTTTTTTAAGAAGAGACTGGACAGTCACTTGTCTGAGATGGTATAGGGTCTCCTGCTTGAGCAGGGGGCTGGACTAGAAGACCTCACAGGTCCCTTCCAGCTCTTTTCTATTCTAAAGTTGCGTGACCTGGTTGGGGTCTCAGATTAAAAAATGCTTTCTCCCTTCCCTGAATATCTGTCTCCCTCCCTCCCTCCCGTCCTTCGTCTGTCTGTCTGTCTTCTCTGGCACCCACAGACATTAACGAATGTGAGTCAGGCAGCCATCAGTGCACGGAGTCCCAGAACTGTGTGAACTTTCACGGCGGGTATCGGTGCGTGGAGAAGAAACTCTGTCAAGAACCCTACATCCACGTCTCTGAAAAGTGAGCGGGGTCAAGTCTGGGGGGCTGAGTGGGCGAGGGGAGGGGAAAGGAGAAGCAGAGGAATTGTAAACAGACCTGGTTGTGCTTGACCACCCAGAGTCAGTCCCGTGGGGCAGTTTGCAAATGCCGTTCAGTGATTAACTAACCTGCAGGATTTCTGGCCCTGCAGAAGCTAGCAAGTAGCACCTAGATAGCAGAACAAGAAATAAAGGCCATGCAAGCCTCCACATATAGTGGCAGTCTACCTTTGAGCATCAGTGCGTTTAACAAAGAAAGAGTGGCGTTCTACCTGGTCGGCATCCTCAAACATTGCCCTAAGTGGTGTGAACCCAAGTCCATGGGGGTTGGAAGGAAGGAAGGAAGGAAGGAAGGAAGGAAGGAAGGAAGGAAGGAAGGAAGGAAGGAAGGAAGGAAGGAAGGAAGGAAGGAAGGAAGGAAGGAGACAGAAGGGGAGGGAGGGAAGGAAGGAAGGAGAAGGAAACATACAGAGAGAAGAAAGAAACCAAGCTGGCTGGGGAATTCTGGGAGTTGAAGTCCACCCATCTTAAACCAAGATGGCTGGGGGATTCTGGGAGTTGAAGTCCACCCATCTTAAACCAAGCTGGCTGGGGAATTCTGGGAGTTGAAGTTCATTCATGGTTGAGAAACCCTGGTTTAACAACCCGCTGAGAGAAATCGATACTCACAACAGAGCTGGATCACAACCTACCTCTTTCAACCAGTTTATTCCTGTTGCAGCCGCTGTCTTTGCCCGACCACAAACCCCCTTTGTCGCGATAAACCATCCTCCGTTATCTACCGGTATATGAGCATCTTGGCTGATCGGCCAGTGCCCTCGGACATTTTCCAGATTCAGGCTACCACCTTCTACCCAGGAGCTTACAACACCTTCCAGATCCGCTCAGGCAACGAGGATGGAGAATTTTACATCCGGGTAAGTCCGTATCCTAGCAACAGCCAATCACAGTCTTTTTTTTTTTTTGCCAACAAGTTTACTCTGGTACCTGGCTTCCTAACACTGATACTTTAGGGCAGGGGTCTCCAAACATGGCAGCTTTAAGACTTGTGGACATCAACTCCCAGCTGGCTGGGGAATTCTGGGAGTTGAAGTCCACAAGTCTTAAGTTTGGAGATTCTTGCTTTAGGATTATTAATATATTTATTAATATATTATTAATATATTATTAATATATATTTTATTGAAGTGGTCAATTGCACCGTTTTTGATCCCTCTGGATGGAAAAGTCAGCTCTTAATTAAATGGTGATCATCCCAAAGTTGCTGGAAGGTTTTGCATCCTGTTTAGGGAAAAAAATGTCTGCGTTACAGGTTGTCCTTGACTTACAACCATAATTGGAACTAGAATATCCGTTGTTAAATAAGGCCGTTGTTCAGTAAATCATGCCTGACTTTATGACCTCTTTCGCCCCGGTTGTTAATCAAATCACTGTAATCAGTTGGTTTCAATTGTAATTTGTACACAGTCAATGTAATCAATCAATTGCCGCGGTCGTTAAGCAAATCACAACGAATCAGTTGTCCCCCTGTCCCCTGTGGGCATATGACTGCTCATTGCTCAACAACTCAGCCAGCTGTTTGCCGCGTCCCACAGTCACATCACTGCATTTTGCGACAGTTTTGCAGAAAACTGACACTTCTGGTTTCTGGCAAAAGCCACACCTACTGTATAACAAACAACAGGTTCGCATTTACAACTGCTGTGTTTGCTTAAAGAGCTAAATAAGAACTTTGAAAACAGGATCTACGATGAGGTAATTAAGATGATCCATTAGAAAAGAAGCTTTAAATTGATGTGGTGGTTAAATACTAGAAAAAAAATCTTTATATTCAATTGTTTTCTATCAAAATACTAAGAAATGGACTAATTCAAGGTTGGTGAAAGAGGATATTATTGAAAGAAGAGAAAATCAAAAAGTTAACTATGTGGATTATGGAACTACAGAAATTGTTATTGATTTTAAATGTAAACCCAGACAACACGCTGTTTACCAAATATTAAGGTGACTATGTTAAAAAAAAATCAATAAAATATATTTTTAAAACAACAAACAAACAACAGGTTTGCACATACGACTGTTGTGTTTGCTTAAAGAGCTCTGCAAAAAAAACAGCGTAAAATCAGGTCAGTCGTATTGCCAACTCATTTGACGGCTTGTGATTTATGCTCCATTATACGGTCGTAACTCGAGGACTACCTACAATAAAGACTAGCGAGTTGAACCCATGTCCCAGGCTGGGGGTGAGCTTCTGTTTGTTGGAGGTGTTGAAACTTTAAATCCTTCTTCTGAACTCACGGCCAGCTTCTCACATCTGTTTCCTCTGCAGCAAATCAGCAACATCAGTGCCATGTTGGTGCTGTCTCGGGCGGTGTTGGGTCCCCGTGAGTTTGTGCTGGATTTAGAGATGGTCACCATCAATAATCTGATGAGCTACCAAGCCAGCTCGGTGCTCCGCCTCACCGTCTTCGTGGGGGCTCATCCGTTCTAGTGGGGGCAGATCTCCTCCCCTTACCTGGCGTGGCAAGGAAGGGGGTAAGTTGGCTTTGGGATAGGGTGGAAAGTGGGTAGGGGGTCTCCAGTGGAGGGGAGGGCATAGCACTGGGGTTAGAATCTGTGCTTTGCATGCAGAAGGTCTCAATTTCAATAATTTGGGGTCAAATTATTCTCCAAAGCACCAAAGAAACAATGGATGGAAACTAATTTAAAGAGAGAAGCAACCTGGAATTAAGGAGAGAGTTCCTAGCAGTGAAGACAATTAACCAGTGGAACGGCTTGCCACCAGAAGTCGTGGGTGCTCCATCACTGGGGTTTTTTAAGATGAGATTACACAGTTACATGTCTGAAACGGTATAGGGTCTACTGCTTGAGCAGGGGGCTGGACTAGAAGACCTCCAAGGTCCCTTCCAGCTCTATTTTGATTGACGGCTTGATTGACACTTTTCACCCTTAATGAATGCTGCAACAACATCCCTATGGTCATGAGATCAAAGTTCTGACACTTGGCAGCTGACTCATACTTACGACGGACGCAGTGTCCTGGGGTCACGTGATCCCCTTTCGCGACCTTCTGACAAGCAAAGCCAGTTTACTTAACAACCACGTTGCTAACTTAACAATTGCAGTGATTCGCTTAGCAACTGTGGCAAGAAAGGTCATAAAATGGGGCAAAACTCCCAGTTGTCTCGCTTAGCAACAGAAATTTTACCTTCAGTTTTGGTCGTAAGTCAATCAATCAGAATGGAGGTGGAAGGGACCTCGGAGGTCTTCTAGTCCAACCCCCTGTTCAAGCAGGAGACTCTAGACCAGGGGTAGGCAATCTTGGCTCTTTTATGACTGGTGGGCTTCAACTCCCAGAATTCCTGAGCCAGCATGGCTCAGCTTGGAAACCTCTCTCTTTCCCCTCAGCATGGCTGGCTCAGGAATTCTGGGAGTTGAAGTGCCTTTTTCCTGTCTCTCTTGCAGAAACGTCTGTCCAAGGTGGAGGAACGACCCAACAACGAAAGGACACAACTGCTGCTGCTGCTGAAAAAAAAAATATGGAAGTTTGACGGTCCCACGGTCTTCCCCACCCACTGTCTACCAGAATCACCAATTGCCAGAACTGGACGAGTCCCTCAGAACCAGACCCTTAGCTTAAAAGATGTTTGTGGCCATCCTGGACCCAATCCACCCTTCCTGAGCATCGCTTCTTGATCCGTAACGCCGGCCAATAACGCCACCTTGTCTGCATAAGGATAGAAGGACCCATCCCTGCACTTGGCATGGAGAGAGGACATTTGAACCTTTTAGTAGAAGTTCCATTTTTTATTTCTCTGGTTCCAAGAGAAAATGAGAGAGAGAGAAGAGAAGAAAAAAAAAAGACCAACAAGATTTAGTAGGTTTGTTTTTTGGGGGGGGGGGGGGGAAGGAAAGACCGAGGAAGCCGTTCGTGATGTCTGGTTTGGGAAGGGTTTGAGATGGGAACGGGGTGAGTGACCGCAGGTCTTGTAAATGCTCCCTTTGGAAAAATGGCTTAGGTCTTGGGTCAGCTGTGGAAAGACTGGCTTTACTCAAAGAGCAGTTGTTGAACTGGTTGACTTTTGCAGAGGTTTTGAGTAAAGTTATCTCTGTTCTAGGGGAGGGCAGAGCAGAAGAGCACGCAGGTGGACCTAGCCGGTCGATCTTGCTTGGCTTGGCAGCTAAGTAGGATGAGATGATGCCACTCGCATGGGAGATGATCAGAAAGAATTGAAGTCCCCAAGTCTTAAAAGTTGCCAAGGTTGGAGACTCCTACCTTAGACCATGGAATCTCAACCTTGGTAGCTTTAAGACAGGTGGGCTTCAACTCCCAGAATTCCCCAGCCAGTATGCTTTAAGAGGAGTGGGCTTCAACTCCCAGAATCCCCCAGCCAGCATGCTTTAAGGGGGGGTGGACTTCAACTCCCAGAATCCCCCAGCCAGCATGCTTTAAGGGGGATGGGCTTCAACTCCCAGAATTCCCCAGCCAGCATGCTTTAAGGGGGGTGGACTTCAACTCCCAGAATCCCCCAGCCAGCATGCTTTAAGATGGGTGGGCTTCAACTCCCAGAATCCCCCAGCCAGCATGCTTTAAGGAGGGTGAGCTTCAACTCCCAGAATTCCCCAGCCAGCATGCTTTAAGAAAGATGGATTTCAACACCATGATGGGTGGGAGTTGAAGTCCACCCCTCTTAAAGCATGCTGGCTGGGGAATTCTGGGAATTCCATTTTCAAGTGGCCAAGAGTGAGAAACCCTACAGGTAGTCTTTGTCTTACAACCGTTCATTTAGTGACCGTTCGAAGTTACAACAGCCTTGAAGAAATCGACGTACAACCGATCCTCGGACTTAGGTCCACCACTGCATCCCCATCGTCCTGTGATCAAAATACGGCTGCTTAGCAATTGGCGTGGAGGCAGCCTCCCAGGGTCACATGATTGTAGTTGTAAGTTGTATACCTAACCTGCATTCGGAGGGTCTTCAAACTTGGCCACTTTAAGACTTGTGGACTTCAACTCCCAGAATTCCTCAGCCAGTCCACAAGTCTTAAAGTTGCCGAGTCTGAAGACCCCTGCTTTGGAGTCACTTTTAAGAGGTAACTGAAAATAGCCTCTGAGCCTAATTGGAATTTTTCTCCCAAGGTCTGGAAAGTCCTGGGTGGAATTAAGAGCATCGCGACTAAAAACAGGCACTAATTTCGACTCGGAGATTAAAAACTAATATTTGCCTTTCGAATATTACGAATTCTTCCAGTGGCCCTGGGGCTAAGGATGGCGAGCTGTTTGTTTTTCTCTCTGACTGCCCTAACATTTTTGCTCTTCTTCCCACCTATAATATTTGAAAGCCTCAAACAAACAAACGACTCTTCTTGAAGTCTGAATATATATATAAAAAAAGTACCTAGTTTCTTTTTTTAAAAAAAAACAAAATATAATCCAGCCCCTTTCTATGTTGTTTTGAAGCTCCAGTTCCAATCAAGGAAGGTTAGTTTAAAAAAACAAGGTGGAATGCTGAAGCTTTATTAAATAAACCATTGTTGGTTGGTTTCACTCATGATGGCTTGGGACACTGTAGGAAATTGGAAAAGGGCCCCGGCTGCATTAGATCAGGAGTTCTGTTTTCCTGCATTTGTCAACTATAGGTAGTCCTTGACTTACGACCAACATTTGTAATTGGGAGAAGAGGAGGAAGGAGGAAGGAGATATTGTGGGAAGGGAAAGAGACATTAAAAGGAAGGAAGGAAGGAAGGAAGGAGGGAGGGAGGGAAGGAAGGAAGGAAGGAAGGAAGGAAGGAAGGAAGGANGACCATGGAATCTCAACCTTGGTAGCTTTAAGACAGGTGGGCTTCAACTCCCAGAATTCCCCAGCCAGTATGCTTTAAGAGGAGTGGGCTTCAACTCCCAGAATCCCCCAGCCAGCATGCTTTAAGGGGGGGTGGACTTCAACTCCCAGAATCCCCCAGCCAGCATGCTTTAAGGGGGATGGGCTTCAACTCCCAGAATCCCCCAGCCAGCATGCTTTAAGGGGGGTGGACTTCAACTCCCAGAATCCCCCAGCCAGCATGCTTTAAGATGGGTGGGCTTCAACTCCCAGAATCCCCCAGCCAGCATGCTTTAAGGAGGGTGAGCTTCAACTCCCAGAATTCCCCAGCCAGCATGCTTTAAGAAAGATGGATTTCAACACCATGATGGGTGGGAGTTGAAGTCCACCCCTCTTAAAGCATGCTGGCTGGGGGATTCTGGGAATTCCATTTTCAAGTGGCCAAGAGTGAGAAACCCTACAGGTAGTCTTTGTCTTACAACCGTTCATTTAGTGACCGTTCGAAGTTACAACAGCCTTGAAGAAACTGACGTACAACCGATCCTCGGACTTAGGTCCACCACTGCATCCCCATCGTCCTGTGATCAAAATACGTCTGCTTAGCAATTGGCGTGGAGGCAGCATCCCAGGGTCACAGGATTGTAGTTGTAAGTTGTATACCTAACCTGCATTCGGAGGGTCTTCAAACTTGGCCACTTTAAGACTTGTGGACTTCAACTCCCAGAATTCCTCAGCCAGTCCACAAGTCTTAAAGTTGCCGAGTCTGAAGACCCCTGCTTTGGAGTCACTTTTAAGAGGTAACTGAAAATAGCCTCTGAGCCTAATTGGAATTTTTCTCCCAAGGTCTGGAAAGTCCTGGGTGGAATTAAGAGCATTGTGACTAAAAACAGCCACTAATTTCGACTCGGAGATTAAAAACTAATATTTGCCTTTCGAATATTACGAATTCTTCCAGTGGCCCTGGGGCTAAGGATGGCGAGCTGTTTGTTTTTCTCTCTGACTGCCCTAACATTTTTGCTCTTCTTCCCACCTATAATATTTGAAAGCCTCAAACAAACAAACGACTCTTCTTGAAGTCTGAATATATATATAAAAAAAGTAGTTTCTTTTTTAAAAAAAAAACAAAATATAATCCAGCCCCTTTCTATGTTGTTTTGAAGCTCCAGTTCCAATCAAGGAAGGTTAGTTTTAAAAAAAAAAAGGTGGAATGCTGAAATATGGTTCGGGGAAATTAAGCTTTATTAAATAAACCATTGTTGGCTGGTTTCACTCATGATGGCTTGGGACACTGTAGGAAATTGGAAAAGGGCCCCGGCTGCATTAGACCAGAGTTCTCTTTTCCTGCATTTGTCAACTATAGGTAGTCCTTGACTTACGACCAACATTTGTAATTGGGAGAGAAGGAGGAAGGAGGAAGTAGGAAGTAGATATTGTGGAAAGGGAAAGAGACATTTAAGAGGAAGGAAGGAAGGAAGGAAGGAAGACATTGAGGGGAGGAAGGAAGAAAAGGAAGGCAGTTGGAAGAAAAATGAGAACGCTTGTTTTTAAAAACTACTAGAAATTTTATTGGAATATTAAGACAGTTTTCTTAGGACTTTATTAGCATGTATATTTATTAGATTGCTTTCAATCAAACAGGACACAGCCAGGCAGGATTGGGCACTGAAGGGAACATACATCTGTCCAAACTCTTTTCTGGGGAAGGTGTGTGTGTGTGTGTGTGTGTGTTTGTTTGAGTGTAGGCAGAGATGAAAACCCCCTCCCCTTCCAGGTTGTGCAAGGAAGTGTGAGTTGGGAAAAAAACTTGCCTGTGAGATTTGAGGCACGCTCCTTTCCTGGTGTTTTACAAGAGGTGACCAATTGTGGGAATTTTTCTCTTAATCGACAGCACAGTAAATGTCATTATTTTATTTCTCTTTCTCTGATTTTCTCTCTCTCTCTCCCTCCCTCTCTCTCTCTCTCTCACACACACACACACACAGAGCCAGTGCACACTTCTCACAGCCTTTTGATGTTCAAGGCAGCGGTCCGGGTGTGCAGTACAGCTGAGCCAATGTTTTGCTAAGAGAAGGACCCAGATTTCTGGAAAAAAAAAAAAAAAAAGAGGCAGGCATTATTTTTAAAAGGCAAATTCTACGGCTCATTCATTCCTTCCTTAACCCATCCAATTTACTGGGCACCACTCTCTAACAATCCCCATCAGCTTACAGGGAATCCTTGAGTTATGACCACCACGGAGTTTATCCATCACGGCCGCAAATCGTGACGGTTGCAAAACGGGTCAGTCTCACACACACACACGACCCAGTTTTATGACTTCGGCTGTTAAGCAAACGCGGCAGTCGTTAAGCAAGCCACGGGCGTGGTTTCGTGGAAAACCTGAAGTCACGTGATCAAAATTTAAGACCCTTGGCAACTGGCATGTACTTATGACGGCTGCAGCATCGCGGCATCGCACGATTACAGGATGGCCACCTTCCCAGCCAGCTAAGTCAAGGGTGGGGAGGGGGGAAACTGGATTCTCTTAACGACCAGGAGTTTCACTTAACAACCGGGGCAAAAATTTAAAAAGATTGTAAAATTGGGCACTTATCTGCCTGGCTTAGCAATGAAAATCCTGGTTCCCATTGTAGGCGTAACTCGAGGATTACCCAATATTCGGGGGGGGGGGGAGGCTGAGGGAGCTTGTGCAAAGGGGGGGGAAGAGAGAAAAGACCCCCCTCCCTGCCCCCAGCTCTAATCCTCACCTCTGCAATTGGCCGCATTTGATGGTGCTCAAAAGTTGCTCTTGATTTTCTGCATCCGGACACGCAGCGTAAGCCTTCATCAGGCTGAGAAAGAAGAGGAAAAGCAGGGAAAGTTATCAGCCCCCAATTTTGACATGCCAAGGAGAAGCCCCTCATGTTTCATCATACATGTGAATCTTAACCCTTCACCGCATAGGACGGTGCTTTAAACTAGGGTACAGCGTGGTCTGTTCTGCCTGCAACCAGCCTGTAAGCCAGCTTTTCTCAACCTGGCCAGCTTGAAGATGCTGTACGGCAGGGGTCTTCAAACCTGGCCCTTTGATGACTTGTGGACTTCAACTCCCAGAATTCCTCAGCCAGGCACGTGTGCCTGGCTGAGGAATTCTGGGAGTTGAAGTCCACATGTCATCAAAGGGCCACGTTTGAAGACCCCTGCTGTACAGGGATCTCAACGCCCAGAACAAATCAATAAAGGAATAATACAGAATAGTATTGTCTCTACACTCTTAGTATTGGTGTAAGCTACATCTCTAGAAATAACAATCTTTTGTGTTGTTGTTTTTTTGTTGGTGGAACAGTAAGATATAGAGCAGAGCTAAAATTCTAAGGTAGACGTTAGTGAAAATAACACAACGTTGACATCCACACTTCATTTTTTCAGTGTTAAAGTGTTATTTAGTTAGCCATGGTTAAACAGTATTGAGGGGTGGGGATTAGTCACCTTGAATTGACTAGTTGAAGAATTCTGGGAGTTGAAGTCCACCCCTCTTAAAACATGCTGGCTGAGGAATTCTGGGAGTTGAAGTCCACCCATCTTAATGCAAGATGGCCTGGGAATTCTGGGAGTTGAAGTCCACCTATCTTAACCCATGCTAGCTGGGGAATTCTGGGAGTTGAAGTCCACCCATCTTAATGCAAGATGGCCTGGGGATTCTGGGAGTTGAAGTCCACCCATTTTAAAGTTACTAAATTTGAGAAACTCTTATCATCAGAGATTGATCTTTACCCCCACTCAACTTTTAACCACGGAGAGCTTAAGAACAAAATCTGAGGAAAAAAATCAGCTTTATGAGGCGACTGTGAACTACTGAGAACTTTTCTCTGTTCCCTGCCCTGCAGTGCAGGAAACTGCTAATGTTGGCTTAATTCACACATGACGCGAATGCCAGGCTAACAAAATTAATTCCACCACCCCCCCACAACCTTCTTCCTGATCGTCATACCTGGCAGGCGTTTTGTATTTTTCCAAAATGGCAGCCGCCTTCTCTCCACTGAGGCCGCTGACCTGCATCAGTTGCCTTGCAAAGACTTCGTACACCGTCTGTGCCTGGGAAAGGGAAGCAGGAATGGGGTTCAAAAAAAAAAAAAAAGCAGGTTTGGCGGTTGTGTGAATGCAGCTCAGGACCTGGTTCAGCAAGACTGATTTTCTTCCCTGTATTTTGGTGAAATATCTGGACTAAATTCGTGTGGCGGTGAAGGCACCAGGTTAGAGACTTGGAGACCCGAATTCAAATCCTGCCTTGGGCCCAAAAGCCAGCCGTGCTCTCTCCAGCCCTGGGAAGGAGGCAATGACAAACCAGCCACAACCAACCACGACCACAACTGAGCCGAAAATTTCCATGACTAAGCAACACGGTGAAGTGAGTTTTGCCCCCTTTTACGACCATTCTTGTCGCAGCTGTTAAGTGAATCACGTAATTGTTAAGTTTGTAACACGGCTGTTGTGTGAATCGGGCTTCTTCACTCAGTTTGCTTGTCAGAAGGTTCTCCTGTTCTGCTTCAGCAGGGGGTTGGACTAGAAGACCTCCAAGGTCCCCTTCCAGCTCTATTCTATTCTAAAGGTCGCAAAAGGGGATCTTAGGGCCCGTCATAAACGTGAGCCAGTTTCCAAGCGTTCCCAATTTTGATCGCACCGTTGTAAGAGTGAAAAACGGTCATAAGTCACTTTTTCCATTTGTAACTTCGACCAGTCACTAAACGAATCGTCGTAAGTCGAGGACGGCCTGTGTTTTTCTGTTCAGTCTGGGATCTTCCACACAGAAAAAAACGTGTTCCCCTCTTGAGGTCCTTCCCATTGTCTATTTTTTCACCCCCAAAAATGCAATTCCCGCTGGATTCCTCACCTTGTTCTTTACAGCCCCTTCGTTAAATTCAGCAAATGTCAGAAGCCTGCAGGTGCTCTCCCTGGGCTGCAGGGGGCGCTCGTCCTCCAGTTCCTGTTTGGTACAGCTCAAAAGCATTTTGTCCTACAGGGGGGGAAACCGAGGAAAATAATCCTTAGAAAGCAGTAACTCTTCTTTTCCCCCCCCCCCCACTATTGGTCTATGTCTTTACAATTAATCCTCCACTTACGACCAACCCTTGACTTATGACTTTCCCCCCCAAAGTAGAAATCTTAACGCCAAGCTTAAAAAAAAAAAAAAAAGTAAGAGACTAGTCCTCATGAGGGCCAAGGAGTCCATATCACTCCAAACTTACCTCGTACAGCCTGGTCAAGTGACGGGTCATGACGGTCAGATAAGCGGCAGATTCCCGAATGTCACGGGTACGTTTGACGAAGAAGCCATCTACCACCTGAGGAAGATGAAGATGGTGATGAAGGATGATCACGGCCATCCCAACACCCCTTCGGAGATTACAATGAATGCAGCTGAAAGGAACAAGTTAAAAGATGTGGCAAAATCTGGGGCCAGATAGAAAGCAGGTTTACGGTCAGAAGAACCGAATAACAGATTTGGAAAGGGACCTTGGAGGTCATCTACTCCAACCCCCTGCTTGGGCAGGAAACCCTTTACCATTTCAGACAAAGGGTTGTCCAAACTCATCTTAAAAACATTCTCCAGTGTTGGAGCACCCACAACTTCTGGTGGCAAGCTGTTCCACTGGTTAATTGTCCTCACTGTTAGGAAATTCCTCCTTAATTCCAGGTTGCTTCTCTCCTTGATTAGTTTCCATTTGTTGCTTCTTGTCCTGCCTTCTTGTGCTTTGGAGAATAGCTTGACACCCCCCTCTTCTTTGGAGCAGCCCCTCAAATATTGGAAGACTGCTATCATGTCGCCCCTAGTCTTTCTTTTCTCTAGACTGGCCATACCCAATTCCTGCAACCGTTCTTCAGAGGTTTTAGCTTCCAGTCCCCTCATCATCTTTGTTGCTTTTGGAATCTGAGACACAAGTTTTCCCCTTTGCAGGTAAACCCAAAGGTGATTTTTTACGAGGCAACTGGACTTTCTTGTTTTTCTTTGAAGACGTTTCGCTTCTCCTCCCAGAAGCTTCTTCCGTTCTGACTGGATGGTGGGGAGTGGAAGGATTTATACTCCTTGCAGACAGCTGGTCATTTGCATTGTTTTTAGAGAGTCGTTGAGGCCACTTGGAGGTTTATCTGTGTCTTCAGGGTCATCTGAGTAGTGCAAAAATGGGTGTGGAACACAGTCCTTTCAACAGTTCCAAGAAAGCTCCACACCCACTAGTACCACTCAGGTAAACCCTGAGGACACAGGTAAACCTCCAAGTGGCCTCAACGACCCTCTAAAACAGGGGTCTTCAAACTTGGCCTTTTTATGATTTGTGGACTTCAACTCCCAGAATTCCTCAGCCAGGCACACTGGCTGAGGAATTCTGGGAGTTGAAGTCCGCAAGTCATGAAGGGGCCATAGTTCCCCCATGCTGGCTGAGGAATTCTGGGAGTTGAAGTCCACAAGTCATGAAGGGGCCATAGTTCCATGCTGGCTGAGGAATTCTGGAAGTTGAGGTAAACCCTGAGGACACGGGTAAACCTCCAAGTGGCCTCAACGACCCTCTAAAACAGGGGTCTTCAAAATTGGTCCTTTTATGACTTGTGGACTTCAACTCCCAGAATTCCTCAACCAGTGTGCCTGGCTGAGGAATTCTGGGAGTTGAAGTCCACAAGTCATAAAAGGGCCAAGTTTGAAGACCCCCTGCTCTAAAAGAAGGCAAATGACCAGCTGTCTGCAAGGAATATAAATCCTTCCACTCCCCACCATCCAGTCAGAGCTGAAGAAGCTTCTTGGGACGGGAAACGAAACATCTTCAAAGAAAAACAAGAAAGTCCAGTTGCCTCGTGAAAAAGCCCCTTTGGGACAACCAGGACCTGGAGGACGGAGAACCTCCGTAGATATTTGCAGGCGAACCTCACCTGAGTATTAACAATCGCTTGTTGCAGCGTCTTTTCGGGGAGACTGAGATGTTGCACGGAATTCGCATCTTCTACCAAGTAGACGGGGTGGGAAAGGCCACACTGTCGTAGGCGGAACTGGATTCGAGGCATGACAGAGGACGGGGTGGTGTGGATAGATGGTTAGGAACCAGAAATTAAATCATGAATGAAAGATGAACATTACAACCTCAGTCAGGACTGGAAGATTCTGTACGTCCAATTTATAATTCCTTCCCAACTTGGTCAGGTCCTGAATTAAGAGGACGCTACCTTTTGTTCCCGAAAGCGACCGTCGATGATGCTTCCACACAAATCCGGCATCCGTTTCCGTTCCACCACGTAGTCTAACACCAGCTCACGAACCGTGGTTGGCGGCAACTGCTCTGAAAAGGGAGATTAGAAGGGAGAATTTAAGGATTTAACTACAGGGAAGCCGAGATTGCCATTCTCCATTTAGGAACAAGGGTTTAGGTCAGGGTTAGGCAACTTTGGCTCTTTTGTGACTCGTGGACTTCAACTCCCAGAATTCCTGAGCCAGCATGGGGAACTATGGACCCCTCATGACTCGTGGACTTCAACTCCCAGAATTCCTGAGCCAGCATGGGGGAACTATGGCCCCCTCATGACTCACGGACTTCAACTCCCAGAATTCCTGAGCCAGCATGGCTCAGCATGGCAACCTCTCCCTTTCCCCTCAGCATGGCTGGCTCAGGAATTCTGGGAGTTGAAGTCCACCAGTCATAAAAGAGCCAAGGTTGCCTACCCCTGGTTTACATTCTCACCCACCTGCCACCTGGGTCCTCCTCTCTCTGGCCACCCAGAGGAAGTCCCCCACGTGAAGCTTCCGGATGCTAAACGGGACGTTGTGACGTTGAAGTTCGCGCACCAGCTCCTGTTTACAGGACGCAGGTCCGCTGCAAGCGAGAGGGGAAAAGTGCTTTTCAAAATCTATTTCCAAGGGGAAATTACTTTTCTTCCCCCCCCTCCAGAAAAGTGGGGTCTTAGGTGCTCTTTGAGGTTGGATGTTTTCTTGCAGACGTTTCATGACCCAACTAGGTAACATCATCAGTCCTAGA